AAGGTAAGAGCTAGAGTTAACAATGTAGAAAACTATGAAATGAACAGAACTTCCCTATTTTTAGTGCAGCAATTATAGCTCTTTTTGAGAATATATGCAAAAACGAAAATGTGGTTACTATAGCAGTAAATTGGTCTCCAAGAAACTCTTTCATTTTCTCAAGAAAAAAAAAAGTTTCTCTAATAAAGCAACCAAATGATAAGAAAAATAATTCACAAAGAAACACAAATGTATCTGGAAACAACACACACACACACACACACAAAAAAAAACGATTCATGAGCAAATGCTGTGATGGGGGAAAAAGAAAGAACAAAACCAGCCTAAACCACTTAGGCAAGTAAATGGATGCTGATTTTCAAAGACAGAATTTTACAGTGTTATTAAAATGATGAGTGTTTTTCCAAATTTCCTTCGTGGCTAAGAAAATGGGATATTTTATTAAACAGAAAGGGAATTTATCTTGTGTAAGATACAGACATTAAAATACGTGTTGGTGGAAGAGCCCGATAAAAAAGGCATTATTTTACAAGAGCGAAATTTTTAGGTTAGTACACATTATGGCAGACAGATGACTAACCTGATGGGAAAGCACAGGGAGATTTTGTAATGCATGAACTTTTTCATTAGTGGGAAATACATTATTTCAAAATTCGGGTTTAATGAGATTGAAGGTATCGATTATGATAAGAACTGCACTACTAGCAGCATTTCATCTCTGTGAATTGCACTGTGTCATTGGACTTAGATTTATTTGGTTAAAATAAAGTATCTTGTTACTTTTATAAAGATAAATTTATAGCCCTGAGATGAAAAGGGAGTAAAGCTTAGGATCACGTGTTTCCCATCTCAATAGCATCTGGAGTCTATGTTGTTTTATTGCTAGCAAAATTCTTACAAATCTAACAATTCCCTCAAGTGTTCCAGTGTGGGGGCTTGTCTGCTTTGAGGATGTCCAACTTGACTGACTCATAGGAGTGTAGACTATAAGCTCCCTGAAAGCTGGGCTTTGTCTTGCTGATCCTTGGGTACAGTGTCTAGCTGGATATCCTGTATATTTGCCATTAGTTGTCATGCAGTCCCTTCCAATTCGTGGCGATCTTAGGTAATAACAGAACAAAACGTTGCCCAGTCCTGTACCACCTACATCATCACTGGTATGCTGGAGTCCACTGTTGTGTGAATCCATCTCATTAAGGGTGTCCCTCACTTTTGTTAACCCAACCCTCTACTTAGCGAACATGATGTCCTTTTCTAGCAATGTGTCCAATGTAGGTGAGTCAAATTCTCAGCATCTTTGCTTCTAAGGAGCATTCTGGTTGCACTTCTCCTAAGACTGATTTATTCACTCTTTTACTAGTCCATA